AAAGCGTACACATGTTTGGGAAAAACGGATACAAATGCACGATTTATAAAGGAATCCAAATTAAAAGTTTTGTGCATGTGATGGGAAGACATTTATTAAAATTGGGAGAACTCATCTACTCTGGCTGCAGCTGAACTAAATTAATACTTGGCTGCCCCTCAAATCTGCTGGAATACATGCATGCCTGGTTACTCCTTCAATTAGTTCTGTAAAACCAGCACACAACAGCTGTAGTAATAAACTTCTGCTACTCTGCAATGTCATTATCACCTAAGAAGAAAAGTTTCCTTTTAAGATTAAAAGAGGTGTTCATACACCTTACCAAATTTCTAGAAGTCGTCTATGCCTTCATCCGTATTTCAGAAACAAACTATTTCTTACAGCTGGTTGAAGCAATTGTTTAGACCACTATCCCTCCAAACAGGTATATAGATGAAAATAATCTTCCCCCCACCCCACCCCCTTTTCTGCACTGTGGAAACTGTGGGAAAAAGCAGAATAACATGCCAATGGCCAGTACTTCTGCAGCTGCAAGAAAAAGAAGGCAGTCACTCTCACAGGTTTTAAACAGATCTAACTTCTAAGCTGGAAAGCACATTTATACCTTCATCTAACTTGAAAAATGAAAGCTCCCATGCCACTTCTTGTGTCCCAGCAAGAACAGCTGTCATAGTCAGAAGTGTAGTATTCCTCCTGCCCTTGAACAATCTTCAAACTACTGCTTAAAATTAAAATATTTATGAATATTAAAAGTCTTACGAACAAAAGAAAAGTCCATAGCAAACCTGACTCTAATCACTGTGTTTACAAATTACTTAGCAAACACTAGGACCATTTATAAAATGCCTTCAGGCAGAAGGAACTTTTCTGGAAAAGCATTTCATTTCAAGTCCCATATGAGCAATAGCTGATATGGAATAGCACTTGTATTCTCCCCTCGTCTTCCTTCCCATCAATAAATTACTTTAGAATAGGTACTATTTTGAGACAAATACACCAATTTCTTCCAGATGCCATCACAACACAGGAAGCAAGTTGTACCTCCAAGTCATGTACAAAAATTACCTTGCAGAATTTGGATCATGGTTACTGAAGCAGACCAGGAAATCCTGCTCTCACTTCCACCATTGAAATGCTCTGCAACAGATCTGGTGTAAGAAAACTTAGGACTTGAAGCAAACATAGGTGATTCAGAAAACCATGCTACAAAGGCCTAATTCAAAATTACAGGTTGATGAGTGCAGGTTATGCTTGTCACAAAGAATATTCGTAACTTTCGTGCCAGTTATTTATGTCACTAGAAAATGTTTTACCACCTCATAATGCTTTACAGGGAGTAGCACAAATGATAAGTGAAAAGTCAAGATGAGAGCTTCTGGTACTGAATGACCCTGTTGTAACTGACATGCAGCAAGGGAGAAGAGTTGAGGCTGCTCCAGGAATGTTAACTCTGAATTTCTTTGTTTTCTTACAATTAAGATTTCAAGACCTCATGTACTTCACTACATCAGCCAACATGTCTGTGCAGCCCTAAGAGATCAGAAACTTCACTCAACCCTGGAAGCAAAGGCACTTCCCTAACCCATAATCCCAAGAGCACCCAGAAATTTCTTAAGGACCTGAAGAAAATAAAGGATTCCTGCAAGGAATCCTTTACTGTCACTACCTACTTCTGTATTTCTTCTATAGACACAAAGATGACTTCAGCCTCTAGGGTTGGGAAGACAACATCTCTGATACGTACCTTTTTTAAAACTGTAGTTTAACAATGTTTCTTATAGTATCTTACAGGTGGGAAGCTGCAAGATACAACTGAAATGAAAATCTGGTCTGTAAGGATCGTGTTGAACAAGATTGAAAGCTCTCATATCTCCCAATAAATGCTTCCCAAAAAAACCACTCCAAAACTTAGAAAACACACCCAAACAACAAAAAGGCAGGATTTTTTTAAAAAAGAAAATTATTACATTTTTCTCCCACATTGCAAGGCTTTCAGATAAGGTGGTGAGGGGAGGGAAATTAGATGATCTTACCCAGAGGCAAGCATCATGTACAGTACCTTGGAAAAAAACAGGGAAAAATATTACACAAGTCAGCTGGCTCAGCAAGGATTAAGAAATACCTTGATAAACAGCTAATGACATGAAAGGCAAAGCTTTTGGCTCCAGCTCAGAAAAGTAATTACTCCCATGTGGGCACACAAAACCCCAAGAAGGGCTACAGTTTCACATGGCACAGGAAAATTTTCACAGCCTTACAGTCTTTCTTTCATAGCCACATTGGGTGGGTGTACACCAAATAATATTTAGGCCACTGGCTAAAATCATACAAGACTATAAACAATGTTCTCACAGGGCACAGATTACCTGTCCTTCCCATCAATGCATGAAGCTGATGGAAATAGAGAAAAAACTTTTTCAAGTGGCTACGCTACCGTGAAATCCCACTGCTACAGATGGGCCTTTACAGAGCATTTAATTTCTTTTTCTCACACATTCATATACATGACTGAACAGCCAACCACAACAGAGCTTTATAAGGGGTTTCTTCAACAACCCATGACACAAGAAACTACCAAACTTTCAAAAATATGGCAGCAAATCTTGCATTCAAAAACCACTGTAGAGTAAGAAAAAGCATTTGCCCATTCTCACAAATACAGTCAAGTATCCCTTCATAGCACAAGGCTTGAGTCAAGAAAGGTTTGCTTTCACTGGGAAAACTTTATTCTGCTATTTTTCTTGCTGACTGCTTGTTTTATGTGGGTGGGGTAGTGTTTTTATTGTTCTGGACTGCATTATAATTGATGGCAAAGTGCCTGGAGTTTGGGATTGGCATCTCTTCCATTGTTTTTGTTGAGATAAATAAATATATTTCCCCCCTGTTTTTTAAAAATTAAATACACGCCATACTCTCACTAAAAACTTTGTCTGCTAAAAACAAAGCAGGCTGCTAATACAAAAAACCCCACAAAACAAACAAACAAAAGCTTTCAGATGGCACAATCAATCTACCAAACTCCTGCAGCAAGGAATTCACCCCCCAAAAGCCTCATCCTTGCTTACTACCTTCTGAAAAACCCTCAAAGACCAAGAAGCAGAGATATGACAGTGGAGGCCAGCAGTCCTGTTCAGTGGCTAAATGTGTGTGTAATTCTGAGGAGGAGACTGAAGATCAGATTTTGGCCTCAACCTCAAGCATCAACAACTACAAGGATGGGAGCCTACTAAATGGGTAAGATATGTTCTCAACAGAAAATAAGGGAGATTAAGAACAGCTTGAAAAGGAGTTATTAAAGAGTTTGGTTCAGTACTGAATGGAGAGTCACTGAAGCAAATACAACAAGGGAGGGAAGGAAGGGGTGGTCTATCCAGGCAGACACGGCTATCCAAAAAAAAAAAAAAAACCAAACTTAAAAACCCTATGCCCCCCCAAACAAAAAAAACAACAAAAAAGCCTTATATTAATGAAAAACTCCAAAATCTGAAGTTTTTGTTCACAAGCAATGTGAAAGCAGCACCTATATCAATACTCAAATACTCAAAACCAATACTAACCAGCCAGCATCTAAGGCATTTCCAGAGCACTTTAATGGAATATGCTGTTACTGACACTGCCAAAATAAGACCTTTTTTTATAGCACAGAAACATTTGCAATCTATGTTTCCTGACCTAGTAATTAAGAAAAATGCCTTGCCACAACCTGACACAAAGAAAAAAGGTTTTAGTTTTTGCTCAGCTATTCTTCAATGCCTACTACAACAGTAGTTGGCACTGCTATCACGCCAATGTTCTATTCCAGGGGAGGGGAAAAAAAAAAAAAAAAAAAAAAAAAAAAGAAAAAGAACCACACACACGCACGCCCCTCCACCCAAACAAGCAAGCTGGAATTATTTAAGGAGAAATAAAGTGTCAGCACCAAGCTAAATTGTTCTCATTATCCAAAGAATTTAAAAAATACTTTAATATTACACTTGCATGAAAATTGTATGAGCTCTTCATGCCAGGCAGTGTTTCAGCATGCTCCCCAAGTGCACGCAAACAAAAAACATATGACAAACTGTTGTCTCCCAACTGATTAAAGTATTTCTTCCTGGCACAGAAAAGCACTTAGTTAACTGCTGTGAGTCTGGGCCAACAGAAGTATTCCACCCACTACCAAGCACAAAGTTCAAACCTGAACACAAATACGCTTCAAAAACGTGCAGCTTCTGAAATACGAGAAAGAGTATGTCTGAGCAACTTGTTTTCAACCCTGAGCTACTTGGTGAGTTGAAAGAACCGATAAACAGTTGGACGAGTCCAACTACAGTGTGTCTCTCTTGAGCACGTTTGGAAAAAGTGGAATGTGTTAAAATACTTCTTTCCAAAACATCGTAACAGCAATAAAGCCACATCAGCCTAACACACACACAGAATTAGGAAAGAAAAGCCTACATATAATGTTTAATATGTCTCAGTTTCTTTCTGTTGCGGTATCCACTTTTATGGCAAAGCCCTTCAGTTCCAGGTACCATAATCATTCAGAGCAAGCAAGTTTGAAATGCCCAAAACTGTGGGTACACACAAGTAGTACAGTCTAGTACACCACGTAAGATGAAGAGCCCCCAGCCTTTAACAATTTTAAAGAGCTAATAACTACTATTGGTCAAATTCCAAATGTCACAACCCACTAAAATCTAGCCGTTTGTTCCATGGTTGGTGCAAAATCCAAGATAGTATCCAATTTTTCATATTCATTTTTTTAAACACACAGCTAAAACAAGTTATCTGTACACAAAGCCTGATGTCTTACCTAGATGAGTTTCCAGTGTTTTGTACCTTGACACTAAAAAGACAGGGAAAACAAGGTAAGAGCTACTTGCTCCCTTCCTAAGTAGTCTCAAAATTAACACCCAGGCACTTGGATCACAGCTGTTCTAAAGAGCAGGCACATTAACGGACAGTAATTATACTGCAAAGGTATCTTGTATGCATTTTTTCTCCCAGATGAAGCCTACCTGTTTACTTTTTTTGGCCTTTCCAGCAGGATTCTTGCTTCCTTTAGCACCCTCCATGTTTCTTAAAACATTGATGAAATCTTTCTTTGAAACAGATGACAGCAGTTTAGCACGCTGCCTGTCAGAGCTCCCAGCTTTCTTCACCTTCTCATCAACGTTCTTTTGGTGCATCCTGACAGCATTAAATAATTGTACAACACCTCTGGGATGGGGGAAAAAAAACCAACAAAACAAAACAAAGTTTTAACTCAAGTTCTCTTTACAGAAATGAACCCCCTACCAAAGCAACTAATCAGTGCAGATGCTGGATGGCTTCTAGCTCCCCAAAACGGTTACTTAGAACCTCAATTCAGTTAAGAAATAACATCTACTAAAACATAAGAAACTTTCAGTTTTCACTCTTCCTTTGCACTTATTGCTAGGAACCAGTAACAAACAAATCCGCAAATAACTACTCAGACCCCAAAGTAAGCGTGGTAACATGGCACTGAAATCAGTGGAACAGAATGTTTCATCCCCAGAACCACGTTACTCGTCCTACAATCAGCTATCAAATTCCTCAGGCAAGATCTTAAGAGCAGCTGAAGTAGGGGGGACAAGGGAGAGGAACGAGTAAGGAGACAGCTACAGACAGCACATCAAGGTGTTCAACTGGTTCTGCAACACCAAATTACCGCAATGCAAAACTGGCAGTTGAACTTAACAGCTGTAGATCTGGTCAATCCTCTGCGGAAAAGGAAGAAACAGACTAGTAGAAACAAATGTTCTGCATTTTTAAAGCATTAAATTAACAAAATGAGGGGATCCAACAAAGCACTTTTGTTACGCAAACATTACATTCTCATCTAAATTTTTACTCTTTCATAAAGCTTCTGAAATTTTTTGTTGAACTTGATACTGTACAATGCAGACCTGTATATAAATCACTCAGCTCCTGCTAGTCACTTTGTAAGAGTTCAATCTGATTGGAAACAGGTTACCTGCGCAAGCCTTTTCTTCCCCTTTTCCTCCTCTTTTCGATATACATATATTTAAGGAAAGCATTCAGAAAAACTCTTACCTCGTGGCAATTCTCTGAAGATTTCTTTCTCTGTCTCGGTCTTTGACAACATCTGGCTTCACTCGGCACATCATTTCCCATTCCCGCTTTTTATCGAGCTGCGTTGTAAATATTGTTACGTGAAACAACATGGAGCGTTTGAGAATGCAGCATACTCCGATAGAGTATGTAGCAGGAGGAAAGAAAAAGATAAATCAACAAAGCTCAGTTTGGTTTGAGGGTAAGGGGAGCTCCATTATGGGGCTGGACAACAGGTCTGAGGCAAGTCTCTTGCATTGACACACCAGGGGCTACAGTCAAATCTCAGAGTCACTTGCCTTCTGTAGGAAAAACTAGAAAAGAGTAGCACCAGAGCAATGCCTCTGGCTCAAGGCAAGCAAAAGGAGCCTAGAAAAACTCAAAATGCTCTCACACTGACTGCTACAAACAAGGAAATTATTCAAAGATAGCTTTCAACTCCAAGACTTCACAAGCTGATTGCAGAGAAATTTATACACGATAAAATCCTGGGTCTATCAAGACAGGCATGTCACATTTTGAGCCTTGGGAATTTGACTTCTGCTGAATTAATCACGGCACCGCTTTGTGACTGACAGTGAGCACGACAAAAAATACAATGGGCAGAACTCAAACACCAGGAAAACCACCAAGTGCCCAGTGGAGAACAACTCCTGTGTACAACACCGATTTTTGTCTTTTTTGAGGCGCCCTGTTTCAAAATCAAACTGATCCGCTTTCCCATTACCAGGGGCCACAACACCACCAGCTTTATTTCTGCTACTATAGGAGAACAACCTTTGCTTCAGGAGTAAGACAGTGAAACACTTTTTTTCCCCTTTTAACAATTTAACAGTGTTCTAGGCCTGGTGATGTTGCATTAAGTCTGTTTTATGCAAGAAGTCTTCCATGGAATTTCAGAGTCCTTATCTTTATAATTCCAGGCAGACTACTATGAATTTGTGAATTTATGATCATGTTTTGGCCTTTTATCAAAAGAGCTGCCCTATTCTAGCTTCCATCAGCAAGAAATTAATAGAAGGCAGACTGTTCTCAAGTTTTTCTAACGGTAAACAAGTCAGTTTGGGGACCTGCAAACCTCTGCTTTGCAGTACTCCCACATATTTTCTGGATGAGAACAGGTATTTAGGACAACGATAACTGAGCAGATGCAGTACTGAAGCGCTCTGTATTCAAAAGGCAGGCCGTGGCCTAACCACAGCATGTCCCAGACTGTCAGGTGGATAACCTGGTTATCCCATTGAAACAGAACTGGTAAGATGAGACATTAGAAATATTCATGTACTTTTAGCCTGAAGGTAAATCAATCACAGCCTGTAATTAAAGTTCCACTAAAGACACACAAACAAATGACTTAATTGCCAACATATTTTTGTTTTCTTCGTAACAGTTTCAGAACCAGAAGCAATTTAGGGCAAGGACACTGTAATAGAAAACTCCTATCAGGAAAATCATCAAGGGGAGCAAACGATGATTCACAACCACATCAATGATTACTGCCATCTCAACCTAGAGGCCTTTGATTTTGGAAGTCGCAGCAGAATTTAAATGAAAGCAGTTTTCTTCTCTTTCTCTCTTTTGCTTTCAATGAGAGAACTATTTCAACTTGTAATGCTGACAAAGTGAATTATACCCCAAATTAACAACAGCAATTAGAAAACTAAGCTTAAAGGAGCTGCTTTCACCCTCTCAACAACAAAAACACCTTAAGCCAACCGACTGGAACAGTCCTGCTGCCAAAGATCAGCCTGCCTGATGGCCCAGAAAAAGCAGTAAGAGAAAAAGCCCTACAGCATGACTGTCTGGAAAGTCAAAAAACTGAAGCTACTTGAGATCACTGCGGAGGAAAGATTCCAAAACTGAGACAGTCTCAGAGCACTCTCCCAAATCCCCACTGAGGGAACCTTGCATGTATCCCCATCTGACTGTGATTGCACAATGAAATACTGCATCTTTTTCTCACCTTCATCCTCTTCTCCAGCCTTTCTTGTTTTTCCTTTTCTCTCTCCTTCTCCAGTTTTTTATTCTTGGCCAAGATGGTGGACTTATTTTGCGGAATCTTTTTGTTGAGCACTTTCGCCATGGCATCTGCCCAGCCTGCGCTTGGGCCAGCTTTGGAGCTTGTTGCCTCTTCAACTGCATTGCCAAGGGCTGCTGTTTCATCTTCATCATCACCGTCCAGGGCTTCACCTCCTGAAGAATAGCTGTCTTCTGGAAGTCCTGAGCTTAAGTCAGAATCTAGGGGTAAAAAAAAAAAGAAAAGGAACAAAAAAAAGTATCAGGAGTTCTGTTTCTAGTAAAGATCCATCACTAGCATAATTTGCTCCATATGTAAATGTTATCCGAGTTCAGGGCCACGTACTGCTTGCTGTTACAATTAATTCCTCAAGCAGGCATACACCACCATAATGAATTTATTAGAAAGTATCCAGTGCAAGTTCTTGCTCATCTCAGTGATGATTTAAAGTGATTTAAGAGGTTGGGTAAAAGGGAAAAGGCAGCCTTGGATATTTATTATTAGATTAATGAATATTTTGATGTTTAGGAGTGGTAAGTTTTGGGAAAAAACTCTATTATCCAGTTCAAAAATTGTAATTTATAAATGCATATACGTGCACATCTGTATGTATATATGTATGTATGTACATACTTACATACAAACTGCAATAGTGACATCTAGTGTTTAAATGCAAACAGCCACATGGATTAAATTGAAGGTAGGGGGGGCATTTTTTACATGAAAGCAAATCTGCTCAAGGAAAATAATGTCAGCAAAAATACGATTACCTAAGCATAATGAACACAGAGGGGACACTGCTTTGTGAAATACAGAATCAAGACAGTTGTCGGGTAGCTCAAAAGAAACCAAAGCCACCGCGCTTTTCTGGTATACACCCCCAAATTCAAGTTTCTTTACCCTATGCCCTCTTCAAAACAAAAAAGAAGGAATTAAAGTTAAAATACTGAAGTTTGGAATCAAGCAACAGCAAGACAGGAGAGAACAGCCAACTAGACGGCAAATCAAACACATGAAGAATCTACCACTTCCCTCATTAGTCTGTTCAGTGGGTCAAATGGCAAAAATAAAGTCTTTAACAGTGTGGATGATTAACTAGAATGAAGCAGGCTGCAAGCTTAGGGTGTGCTAAAATAAGTTTGGTTATTTCAGTGGACCCTCTTTATCACGTAATCAAGAGCAGAGCATACAAGTGTCCTGCCACTATTAACTACCATTCCACTAGTATTTGTGCCACCCAGAAGTTTTAAATTAGTTATCTTATATATAACTTTCCAGGTCGCAAATCAAGTGCTGGACAGAAGGAGGCCGGTTTCTGACACCTCCGCAGTCCCACCAGCAAGGGGACAACTCCCCACCAACTCTGAGGTAACAGCCGACTGGCTTTCATCCATCTACCACTCTCACGCTACTTTAAAAAGAGTATTTTAAAATCACAATGTTAAGTAGAGCCAAGTGCTTTACTTTGCAAGCACTACTATATCCCGTGAACTACCTTTATCAACTAAATCATTAAGAGAATGAAGTCAGGACTGCTTCACAAGATCCATTTTCCGTAAAACCACGCAGACAGCTATTAATGATATTCCTTATTAAACAATTGCCTATTTAGTTACTTAACAAACATAAACATACACTCTGTTGCCAGACTAACTCATTACTCTGCCTTCTCCATGTGCCTTTTTGAACCAGCAGGAAAATACAATGCAGCAGCAAAACAGTGGTGTCAACCAATTTAAAACAAAGCCTCTAAGGCCCAGGCATGTTTAGAGGTTCGGAAAGCATTTAGTTATCATCATGGAAAGAAGCAAGATTATATGTTTACATGACAAACGTGGAAGATAAATACTTACTGAATACTTGCTCATTATCTGTATCAGTATGATTTTTACTACCAGCAAGGTGAACACAGTGTTGTGTCACGCTCCACACAGGATAAATTACAGGTTTTTTTTCAACAGTCCTTACTGTAAATTGGAAATTCATAAGTTTTTTCATAAATAAGAAAATTTCATAAGAAATTTGTTCAACACATTCAGAAATTACTAAAGGCATCCTTTTTATTATATCAGTACATCTCCATATCCTGATTTCCGATTTGTTTTAAAAACTCAACTGCACGCAAAGAAGTAGGTGCATCACCACATCCTGGTTCCTACATGTAAAACAATTTGTCAAGTTTTCACCCCTAAGGCTTGTCTATGCTAGAATATTGCTATCTAGTTTTTAAACAAGGAATTAACCCCTACTTGCAACTTTTTATACATACAAAAGCTAACAGCTACCAGAAGTCCAAAGCTGAATTCCACACACTGCTTAGGACCAACTTCCACAGTTAGCATAAAAACCAGATCAGACTTACGAAGAGGAAAATTGCAAAAGCGTGTATTAGTCTCCTTTACAGAATATTTTCTGTCAATAAAATAGGAGGATAATGCTGGATAATACCAACAACCCTTTCTTTCAGCAATTACAGAAAGATGAACAAGACTTCAACAACCAGCCATAACTTATTCTTTAACACACCCGAGGATCTGTCAACAGCATAAGATAAAGCAGAGGTATTTCAAGGTAATTTAAACTAGATTAAGACTGTCAGAAGTAGGACCTGGGACTCTATTCTGAATTGCAAAGATTGAAGGCTGGCATAGATTTAATATAAAAAGTCCTAACTTGGGGGGAGGGGGGGAATATATGTATACATCTCCATACTTTACTCTTCCAAACTTGCTCAGTGATCTAGGTGTAGACAGATAGTTAAAAATAGCAATCATTCAGAAATGAGCTCTGAAAGAAGCTCCCACACATGGCTTCCCCTTGGGTTCAGTTTTGACCCTCAAACCAAACAGAACCACTGTGAGCTACGGCTCCAAATGGCCACAAACTTGATTCCTCTCAGAATAAAGAAAAAAAAAACAACCAGTTACACGAGATAATTAAGAAGCAATCACAACTAGTTAGGTATACCCTCACAACACACGAAGAGACAAGAATGAGTGGAGAACCACGTATAAAGGATGGAGTATGCGTGTGTTTATACTCTGTACTCTCCTGGTGGATTACTGTAATTGGCGTATGTCACGGGTTTCCTTCGGAGCAGGAAGCAGATCCCCGTACAGACAGACAGACACCGGCAGACACACAGCCCATCGCACCCCGGAGCTGGTCCAGCTCTGCCCACCCACCCCATCCCCAAGAACCCACCACC